CAACCCTACATATAGGTATTAATATTATGTGTGTTTATATTTTTGTAATCAAATAATTAAACAAAATTGAAAATCATTTTTTTTAACAAAAAGATCGTTTTTTAGCAATTTTCAAAATGGTTTTTAAAAAATCAATTTTTATCCGACATTAATTAAATTTACTGAATATGTAGCTTTATCTATCTTGTTATTAGGTTGAAATTTTAAAGGCACTAGGTACTTAAATGACACTAAAATCGGAAATGACCTTAACTACCATTTTCTTAATTCGTATTTAAAAATTCAATTAAACTTATTATTAAATTAGACAAATAAAGCAACAAATTCAGTACATTTTATTGAAATTAAGGATTAAGAAAAAAGTACTTACAAAAATGGCGAATGCGCCGGGAATAATATTAAAAACTCTTATATACGCGAATTTACAAATGTGCCACCTACACTGGTAATTTCGAATATAATTTTTTTTACATGGTTTTGGATATTTTTAGAAGCAAAAGTTAGTAAGTACATTTTATTTAATTTGGTTGAATTTTACTTTAAATAGTTGGAATCAGTCATTGGTTTGACAGTTAATGTCAAAATCGATTCGCCATGGCGTCCTTAATTTACTTATTTACAATAAGCGGCTGTTAATGTTAAAGAAGAAAAAAAGGATTTTTTTTGGTGTCAAACAAAATTTATTGCCAGAAAAGTCTAAGTACTAGAAAAATCATAAAAATATTATAATATGCAAAATATTATGCTGCTTAAAGTATATCCAACCTATAAAATCAAAATTTTGGGTTGGGTAAAGCGGTGTTATAATGAAGTCATTATGAACGTAAAATAGATAAAATATATTATGTACAATATTATAAATACTGCCACGGGACTCATAAACCTTTATTACATTTAAAACCTAAATGTTAATCGGTTTGCGGTTTCCGTTCATCATTAGTCGATTTGTCCGAAAATGTGTTAAATTGCTCGTTGCCGGTGCTAAATCATAGTAAACTAATGAGGCTTTTCGAATAATATTGTGCCATCGAGCAACGGCCGTGGATGGATACTCGAAATTCAATTTGCATTTAAAATGGTACAGTTTATCGATTCCCGCTGTCGCGACAACAATAATGTTGTTGTATTGTATTGGGAGATAGCAACTCGGAATGTTGTGTGTGTTTCTATTCGGTTGTTTTTTTGCGGACCATGTTCAGCACACATCGCTGGAATTGTTTTTGAAGTTCGTCAGGGGAAATGTGTAGCTGTTGATGCGTTTTTTAACTCTATTATCTATAGTTTGCTAATGGAGGAAACCAATTTTTTTATGAATATTCATAAAGACTTTTTTTGGGAAACTAAAGTTACAATTTTTACTAATTCAGCTATTATACAGTGTGTGTCCCTGGATCGTGTTGCCAATAGGAAGAACTTTTTTATGATGAAATGAAAAAATGAGAATCCCATTAAAAAAAATTGAATCAAATGTACAGTGCTTGGAAATTAATAAAACATGAACAAATTTTAAGAGAGAAGTACCCCCAGATTCGGATCATTCGACTAAAATTAGGTTGATTTTGTTTAGAACATTTTATCATATTTATAATAGATGGCGCTGTAATGAAAAACAAAATCAATTTTGTTCGATTTTTCTTCTCCAATAATTTTTGAATAAAATACTTGGTTTTATTTTTAAAATTATTATTATTATTATTTAACACTGCTCTGGGATATTCCCAAATCTCTAGATAATTCTCGTGTGCTTGCATGAGGATTAGCGGCCATTGCTGCTAATACATTAATTTCATTATTTCCACCTGTGACTGTTGCTCGACGAACTCTTTTTTTCGGTTGAACACTCCCGTTTGTAGTAAACTGCTTGACTGTACGGTGAAATGAAGTACGTGATCGAATTTTATCCGGAAAACGCTGAGCGTAGATATTAACAGCATCATCAAGAATCCTGCCTGCTTCTCCATAAATCAAAATCATTTCTATTTTTTCTTCCACTGTTTAAAAATCCATTATGAATAACTGCTTAACGAAAAGAGGTCTTTTTGTTTGCAAATTAATCTTTGAACTAAAATGATTAAATAATGCTAAACTATAAATGGTTTCTTTATACCTCAATTAGGATTAAATTAATTAATTGACAAAATAATGTTTTTTTTAACCTTAAATGGGGTGTTTTTATTAAAAATAGTACAATAATTCTTTAAATTAAAGGATTTAATGCTGGAAGGTAAAAAGTGACAATGGTGAGCAATTGATAATTATTACCGAATGAAATCATGTATAAAACTTAAACCAAAGGAAACTTAAATATTAGTTAAAAAAACTATGGGTACTTAAAAAAAATCAGATTTAATTTATTAAGATAATTATTACCAAAAAAATTAATTATTATAAAAAAAATTATTGCAGAATCGTATACAGAAGAAAACTCCAACAAAATTGATTTTTTTTCATTACAGCGCCATCTGTTACAAATATGAAAAAATGTTTTTAGACAAAATCTATATATAATAGGGTGGGCCAAAAAAAAACTTTTAATTTTTTTTCTTTAGGTACCATGAAAATATCGTCCAAAATGACGAAAAAAAAATTCTCCTAAAGTTTGAGCTCTTAATATTAATATTAAGAGGTGGCTCATCGCGATTTTTTATTTTCCATTTAAATAACACGGGAAAAAAACATTTTTTTGTTTGTAATTTTATTGCGATTTAACGAATTAGTGTGTTGTCAAAATCAATACATATTCTTGTACGGAATTGAACGATCTACAAAAAAGATCTGATATGATTTTTTGCTTAGTCGACTCTTTTAAAAGATATTTGAGGTTAAAGTTCAACCTCAAATAGTAAATGATGACTTTTATAGTTTTCCATGCTCTATTACCGAGTCTATTACGAAATATTGGCTCAAAAACATGAAATATCATATTTTTCGTGAAGTTTATCGAGTGTTCTTTGGTAAAACAATACAATTTCTACGAAATATCAATAATCAATATCAATAATTTTTTTTCTATAGTCTACTTGATTTAAAAAAAAATCGAATTTTTTTCTTTACATAAGTAATGACAAAAAAATTAATCATTTTCTCAAAAAATAATAAATATTCTATTTACACTTGACTATTAGGTAATAAAAGCCATGTTTCAATAATTTATAAACTAAAATAAAAAATGTTATTCCATAACTTGTACTTTTTTCACTATCTTAGAATCAAACATTTGTTGTACTTTTCTATTAATGCAACTCCTCTTTCTGCTACATCATTGAGAACGCTAAGAAGTTTGAAAAATACTAGATTATCTTGATAGCTTTCATCCTGTGTCCAAAATTCTACATTCTTATTGATAAAGTCAATGGGTAAATCAAATATATTAAATATGTATATGTATATTTGATACTTATAGCGAGTAGTTAAAAACCAACAGCAAAAATATCCCAATTGTAACAAGAAAAATTTAGTTTGATTCCAAAATAGTGAAAAAGTGCACGTTGGAATAACATTTTTTATTTTAATTGGAAAATTATTGAAACATGGCTTTTATTACTCTACATTACCTAATAGTCAAGTGTAAATAGAATATTTATTATTTTTTAAGGAAATGATGTAAAGAAAAAATTTCGAATTAAAAAAAATTAAATATAGGAAAAAACCGTTTTTTTCAACGATTATTGATATTTTATAAAAAATTGTATTGTTTTGCCGAAGAACAATCGATAAACTTCACGAAAAATATGATATTTCATGTTTTTGAGACAATATTTAGTGAAAAACTATAAAAGTCATCATTTACTATTTGAAGTTGAACTTTAACCTCAAATAACTTTTAAAAGAGTCGACTATGCAAAAAATCATATCAGATCTTTTTTGTAGATCGTTCAATTCCCTACAAGAATATGTATTGATTTTTACAACACACTAATTCGTTAAATCGCAATAAAATTACAAACAAAAAAATGTTTTTTCCCGTGTTATTTAAATGGAAAATAAAAAATCGCGATGAGCCACCTCTTAATATTGATATTAAGAGCTCAAACTTTATCAGAATTTTTTTTTCGTCATCTTGGACAATATTTTCATGGTAGCTAAAGAAAAGAAAATTAAAAGTTTTTTTTTAAATCAAGTACTTATAGAAAAAAAAATTAATGATATTGATTATTGATATTTCGTAGAAATTGTATTGTTTTACCAAAGAACACTCGATAAACTTCACGAAAAATATGATATTTCATGTTTTTGAGCCAATATTTCGTAATAGAGCATGGAAAACTATAAAAGTCATCATTTACTATTTGAGGTTGAACTTTAACCTCAAATATCTTTTAAAAGAGTCGACTAAGCAAAAAATCATATCAGATCTTTTTTGTAGATCGTTCAATTCCCTACAAGAATATGTATTGATTTTTACAACACACTAATTCTTTAAATCGCAATAAAATTACAAACAAAAAAATGTTTTTTTCCCGTGTTATTTAAATGGAAAATAAAAAATCGCGATGAGCCACCTCTTAATATTAATATTAAGAGCTCAAACTTTAGGAGAATTTTTTTTTCGTCATCTTGGACGATATTTTCATGGTACCTAAAGAAAAAAAATTAAAAGTTTTTTTTTGGCCCACCCTAATATATAATAATAATCTATATATGTATAATAAAAAATAGGGTGTTCCATTGGAAATTTTAAAGTTACCCCCTGTTCCCCCTATAAGGAGGGGAGTATGAGGACCAATTTTAGTACTGATTGATTTCCCCCCTCGATTCATTTAATTTTAATTTTAAACATTTTTTCGTAAAATGCATACTTACTGAGATATTTTAAAGTTTCAAGTTAAATGACTCACCCTGTATACGTTATACCTATAAATATACCTGTATATTTGGTATTGTAAGACTTTAAATTCTACTTCTAATTAAAGCAAGTCAAAATCTATATTGCACATTTAAACTTTGTAATCTTTGACTAAGTTTTTAATTAAGTAATAATGTTTAAATTTTTCTTTCAGAATTGGGAACTGCTAAATACAGCCGTTCTTACTGGTCAGCAAGTTTCGCAGGCGATGAAAGTTTTCATTGTATCGCAAGCGGGAAAAGCGGCAGATGTAACTTTCCAAGCTTCTTGTCACTCTGAAGATGACAGCGTACTTAAGGTAAAAGATTTCCAAACTCCGAACACAATAAAATAACTACATAATCTGCTATTAAAACTTAATTAAGTTAGTCTAGTTTCTAAAGTTCTTCTTGCATTAATATGAGAAAAGTACGAAACGTTTTAAGTAAAACGGAATTCATATTTTAGGTTTCTTCTTCGTGTGGTTCGGTGTATGTCGATGGTAGTGAGGCACGTGGTTCAGTTAATGGTTCCGTGTTGGTAAAATATGGTACTTACACAAGTTTGGCAAGATTTACAGTCTGGATGCCGGAATTTCCTTTGGATTTGCAGGTTGCTGATACCAGACTTTCTCAGTTGAAGTCTTGGAGGGTTCCTGATTATCACCCAAGGTAATAATAAAATATTGTTTGTAATTATTGTTTTGCCAATAATTGTTGTTTTACTTTTTTGAGAATGTTTATTGTTATTTTTTTTGTAATATTATTTTTAATTTTTGGGTTTTAATATTTATTAGATAGCGTCAATATTTGATAATTATTGATTATAATCGACCGAAACAGGTTACCGGCACTTTTTTATAATTTTATTGTAATATTTTAACTTTTTAGTCGTGATACAATATGTTGTTTATATTCACACATTTGTACATGTTTGGTTTTCAATAAATTGAAGGGTTATTAATAAATTCTAAGAGCTTAAATATTTTTACATAATATAGGTATGTGGGGACTCCCCACAGGAAAAAATCCATCGGCGTAAGGTCGGGAGATCGAGGAGGCGGCCTCCTGGAGGCCAGGTAATAGGTCTTCCTCCTACCTAGCCAACGGTTTGGATAAACGTTATTCAAGTGCTCCCGAACATTGTTTAACATTTTTCAACAAATTACCCGAGAAAACCAAGGTCAAATTAGGCTAAATTGAAACGTTAATAACTTTTTACATAATCAAATAGAAAATTAAAAAACATTTCGTTTGATGTAACTATTCCTTATACCTAAATTTATTAATTTCAGACATATTTAACAATTTCTAATATTACATCCAGAATAGTCAAGAGCAACGTCTAATGTAGAAGTAAGAATTAAAAAATGATTGAATGTGAATGGAGGACACTTTGAACATTTAGTCATAAATTAGTAATAAAAATTGTTATTTAAAATATTGATGGTTTATTAAATTGTTACTGTTACGTATTCTTTTTGTTATTAAAATATTTCATAAAATAAATTTTATATTTTATTTTCTTCAGTGAGCTAGTGCTTTATCTAGTTGAAATCCTACATGCAGCTTTGTTGATATTTTTTAAAATTAGCAAATAAGTACTGTATTACTTTTAAATTTTAAATATGTTTGGCTTGTTTTTATAATTCACTGTCTGCTGTTTTATTAGTAATTTTGTTCACAAAACACTTAATTAGTCAACAAATTATTTATAACAACCTGAAAATTTGACGCCATTAAATTTTGAACAATGACAGATTACGTGGTAACAATAGAAACCGTCCCAGGTTTCTTGATACAAAATAACATTTAAAATTTTAAAAATTGTTAAATATCTCTGAAATTATTAACTTTAGGTATGGGGAATTTACAAGAAATCAAAAATTCCATGCCCATAACTGCAAACCCAATAGCAAAAAAGTTATAGGCTAGTACATGGTATAGTAATTTGATTCAGAATTTTATGTAGAATTTAAAAATGTAAAAATATATAGAGTGTTCTATTTGAAATAACAAAGTTTTTTTGTTCAAAATATTTTATAAAAATATATTTAAATGGATTATAAACCCTTTTAAAATTTCAAATCGATATTTTTTACGGTTCCCCAGAAACTTTCAATGGACCACGAATGTGGTATATCCAGTGGTGTTATTTAGGTTGTGATACCACTATAGAATCTAAAGCAATGTATAATCGTCAAACTAAAAGACCAAGATTTGTTTCCAACATATATTGAATATAAGATAAATACAAATCTCTTGTTTTATTAAAAAAAACAAAAATTACAAACAAATTATTATTTTTTATTTAAAAAAAATAAAATCATTATTATAATTTTTGTATTGTGTAAAACATACAATATTTAAAGAAAAGAAATGATTTATAACAAAATAGAGAATTAAAAATCTTTATAGGTTAAAATAATAAGAATGGCTGTATAAAACATTTAAATGACCTGATTTCGTGAAACGTCGAGGCACGGGTACGTTTTTTAACCTTTATTTTTAAAATCTATTAAAATTTTTCATGGAAGAAAAACCGTGTTGAACTGTATTATATATTGCATTGGCCGGACATCCTAGGCATGCATATTTTAAAATTTGTATATTTGCAAATATTGCTTTAATAAATCTAAAATCCAATAAAGTGTATAAATAATAAAACTATGAAATACTACAAAACAATATTTCTAGTCCTTGTCGATTAACAATTTTTAGATTTTGTAGTAATTAATTATTATGTATTGATTATCAGATTTTGTTTTTTTTTATTTTAAACATGCAGATTTTTATGATCCCCTATAATGTCGCCCCCCTTTAAATTTTTTATTTTAAGTGTCCCAAAAAATTAAAAGTGTGGTTATGTAGGAACTAAAAAATACTTTTTTTCTACGTATAAAGAAAATTGGAAAATTAATCAGTATACAGGGAAAAACGAAAAGTTATTTTTTTTTCAATGGATCACCCTATATATGAATTTATTTTTCGATTCCTTGTAAAATTCTGAGCATATTTCATATATCATACCATATACCTAAATTCAACCGTTTCTGAAATATTTAAATTATTTTTAAGATAATAAGTTGAAATAGTTTGTCTTTCTCTGTCTGAGTACGCCATTTTTACTTATTTAACAACACTTATTGACATAATGTCACTATAGTAATTTATTTTCAATAAAAAATTTGGTATACTGAGGCTTCTTGATTTTTAACAGTTTAAAAAAACATTTAATGATGACATTTCGAATGCGAATATTTTAGAAACGGTTGAATTTAGGTATATGGTTTGTATATATATTATGCTCAGAATTTTACAAGGAATCGAAAAATAAATTCAAATATAGGGTGATCCATTGAAAAAAAATAAACTTTTTGTTTTTCCCTGTATACTGATCAATTTTCCAATTTTCTTTATACGTAGAAAAAAAGTATTTTTTAGTTCCTACATAACCACACTTTTAAATTTTTTGGGACACTTAAAATAAAAAAGTTAAAGGGGGGCGACATTATAGGGGATCACCCTGTACATACTTTTTTATTATTTGGTATAGACCATTTTTTGTTACAAATGTTTAATAAAAATAATAATTTGGTATGTACACATTTTAAAAATTACTCTGTTGTACTAAATAAAAAAACAATATAAAAAACTAATAATTTTTAGTGTGACAAAAACAAGAAGGAAAAAACGTTCGTACGGAAACACCTGGTCCGGAAACTCGGACGACCTGGGAAACGTGGTGGAAAAGCCTGCGTGTCGTCTAAGATACCAGCAAACTCCGGTTGACGTCTACGCTCACTTTATGGCCACCGATCACGAATCCGGCCGGATAAGTTACCTAATTAACAGAAGAACTTGGCTTCGCGTAACCGACTTAGTTTTGCCTTGGTTGAGAGTCAGCGATCCCAGAATTGCCAGTCTGCACGGAAGAATATTGCAAGGTAAAGATATAAGTTTATAAGTACATTAAACTTACAACTAGATATCTACATTAGACTGGGCCAAAAAAATCGAATATTTTTTTTTTGTAAAGTATATCGAAAATATTGTTTGGGGTGACAAAAAAAAATTTTGGTGAAAGTTTGAGTCCATAATATCAATAAGAAAATATTAAGAGGTCTATCATCGCAATTTTAGATTTTTTAACTTTGGAATTTTGTTGTAAAAATCAGTACCCGGAAAAAAACCAATAAATATTCTTATGGGAAATCAAATGCTCTACAAAAAAAGTCTCCTAACATTTTTGGCTAAATTCACTCCATCAAAAGTTATTTAAGGTCAAAAAGAAATTCTTGTTTTTTCCGCTCTAGATTTTTTTTTTGGGTCAGTTAAAAACATGAAATTTAAAAAAAATAACACATTAGAGTTTTTTCGCTTTAAGAAGCTATTTTCTTTAGAAAATATTATTTTTACTGTTACCTATTTAATCGTTTAAATAATAACAATCATATTGTTTTTTTATTGAAAATTGTTTATACACATTTATAAAGAAAAAAAATCAAATTATCACCCATAAAAAATAAATCTACAGGGAAAAAAACAAGAATTTCGTTTTGACTTCAAATTTAACCTTAAATAACTTTTGATGGAGTGAATTTAGCCAAAAATGTTAGGAGACTTTTTTGTAGAGCATTTGATTTCCCATAAGAATATCTATCGGTTTTTTATGGATACTGATTTTTACATGAATTACAAAATTCCAATTTAAAAGATCAAAATGTAAAACTATACCAATTTTTAAGGCATGATTTTAAGGAAATGATTCATCTGACAGAAAATTTCACTTTAACCTTTTTTGTAGAGAATTTAATTTTCTTAAAAAAATATTTTCGAGTCAATTTTGTTAAACTTAATGGTTTGTGAGTTCTGAGACAAAAACTTGCTGAGGAAAAAAAAAAATAAAATTGCGATGATAAACCTCTTAATATTAAAATTATGGACTCAAACTTTCACAATAATTTTTTTTGTCACCCCAAACCATATTTTTGATATACTTAAAAAAAATAGTTGATTTTTTTGGCCCAGTCTAATATACACACAAACTTGAAAATAAAAACCACCTTATCCTAACTAATTTTATTACAAACAAAAAAAGATAAAAAATATTGAAGTTAATTTTGTATTTAACAAATGGGTCATTCCACGTTACTCGGGGATTTTTGTCCCGCCCGTCACAATTAAAAATTGTGAGTAAAAACTACACGTTATAAAATTTATTTAAAAATATTGTTTTATTATGCTTTTAATAAGTTATAAGCACAATAAAAATTATATTATAAAATATTAATTTTATAAATTGTAGTTTTTACTCACAATTTTTAATTGTGACGGCGGGACAAAAATTACCGAGTAACGTGGAATGGCCCAAATAACAAAAAATGTGAATTCATCTGAGAATAAACTTTACGGTAAATTAGAAATAATAAGTTTTTGTTAATTAAAAAAATATTGTTTCTCGTAATTACTAGGTTCCATATAAGATTGGTTGTGTGTATTTATAACAAGAAATATACCTAATTGCTTCAGAAAATTTGATAAAACTATTTTCGAAAAAGGAAGAAAATGTATCATTTGTGCGATTTTGAATTTTTCTGAGTTTAGTGAAACATTCTAAAATTATTTAAATTTATTAGTTTAAAAGATAATATAACGTTATAGGAAGGAGCACTGGGCGTACAGAAATCCAAGTACTATCGCCAATCACAAGCCGGGTATACGGAGCCAAAGAAATCAGGGTAGGCAACGATAAAGTGGGGTTATCCCGCCTTCTAGTCCAAGTGGTATCCGGTTTGCAACTTAACATCTCGCCTGACAGCTCCGTTGAAAACGGATACATAGCCGAAACGAGCGTCACCAGAAAGTTAACCGCGCAATACCAAGAAGGGTTGCTGGACATAGAGCTGGAGTTTTCGGATGGAAGTAAAACACCTCTGCGCGATATAGCGGATACGGATTATCATTTGGTGGTGGAGAGCTTGGATCCTGAAGTCGTCGCGTTTGCGCCGATGGTGGCCAGTCATCATCCCAGAGTCATAGCTGTTGGTGAAGGAAGTGGTGACTTACTCCAGGTAACACTATTGCTAGCTGAAGAGTGTCGGTTGAGTACGAGACCGAAAGGCAAACCTGCAGGCCCTCTGGCGACTGCAGCCGCGACTATAACTGTGGATTACAGCAGCAGCGACTTGTCTCATAGACCGGATATTCTGCAGAATGACGGAGGTAGTTACGGGGGTGGTAAAGGATTTTTGGATTTAGCGGATATTCTTAAGGGTAATTCGATGAAAGAAGAGAACTCTGTGGAACCAAACGTACAGGCGAGGCAATATCAAGGCGGCAAAGGTATGAGGAGACACTCTAACGCTCATATGACTCCTTTGGAAATCAGCATGTACGTTCTCCTGGCCGCTTTCTGCTGTGCTATAGTGGTACGTTTAACCGTATATAGGTATATAGAAAATTCAATGTGTTTTTTTAGGTATTTGTTATATCCTGTGTGGTTTATGCCTCCAAATATAAGGCCATAGATCCTGAAGTTACCGCCGGTGTAAGACCATCAGCAGACGCAACAAGCAGCCTAGTCATCCACAGAGAAACCAAAAGACCCAGAGAAACTACCCAGAACGCCCACGACTGGGTATGGCTGGGAAGAGCAACTATGGACGGATCCAACAGGTAAAATACTGTTTTTTTAAGTTTGTAGACAATGTTTTTGGATGATTAATGGGTGAGTTTTGGACTTCCATTGTCTTTATGTAATTGTTTGTTTACGACGTTTCAATTAGATATAATCTCTAATCGTCTTCAGGTCTTCAGCAACGTCACTTGTTAATCAAATCAAAAGACAATGGAGATCCAAAACTCACCCATTAATCAGGTAAAATACTGTTTTTGCTGTGTAATAACACAATTTTTAAATAACAAAACATCAAATCGACCATTTTTGACCCTGACCCCTTTTGATTTGTCTGACTTTTTTTTTATCTGTATACCCTATAAATTTTTTTTTTGAATTTTTGAAATTTTCTTACTTAACCGAAATTTTTTTTTAAAAATCGCCTTTTTATTTTTCAAATATCTATAACTTTTTTAAAAATTGACTTTTTGGGACGTTTTTTTTTCAAAATTTTTGTTTTTAAATGTACTTTTTTAGTACGAAAAATAATGTAAAATTTTTCGCTTTCTATTTTTGTTCAATTAAAAACAAATAATATTTTGTATTTCCACTTTTTAAGGATGTAAGTTAAAAAAATGATTTTTTTACTTTCTTTGCTTTTAAACGCTATTTTCAAAAAACAATTTAAAAAATAATTTTTAAAAAATTATTAGGTTATTTAATATTATTTTTTTTTCGAACTTTGAGATTTTCTCTACAACCTCAAAAATCCTCAGAGTGGTATTATGATATATTTACATATTTATATATTTTATAAAATGAGTAAAAAATAGAAAACAAAGATTTTGCAGAAAATAAGAATTATTAAAAAAAATATTTTTTTCCGAAAAATTCAAAAAAAAATCGTTGAAGATCGGTCTGAATAATTTTTGTCTACATTTTTCTGGAAAGTACATATAAAACCATAATTAAAAAAAAACGTTCAGATAAGTTAATTTTTGAAAAAGTTATAGATACTCGAAAAACAAAGAGCCATTTTATTGAAAAAATCATAACTCTTTTAGGTTGGGTAGGAAAATTTGAAAAAATTCAGAAAAATGTTTTTCATTGGGTAGAAAAAGATACAAAAGTTTTAGCCAAATCAAAAGAAGCCGGGGTCAAAAGTGTTAGGTTTGGTGTGGAATGCACCATATAAAAGAATAATAAAACAGTGTTAACACTGATATTCTTAACAGCTCCTATAATAGCTTGGTATGAGTTAGAGTAATTGATTAACCATACCAAACAGATGTCTTAAAAGTAAACAAAACATGAACAATTTTTTAAGAGTCTGATCGGTGCTGACTAATTTTTGATTTTTGTGAAAACAAAGCTAAATACAGTCCCTTGCCAATTAATTTTATTTAATTTTGAAGATTGTAAAGTATCTTCTCACCAAAATGCATTTTTGGACCACAAAAGTGATTTTATGAATGTAATCGCGTTAAGAAAGCTTTTTACGACAATATTAAAAAAGCGTTTGTAATAATCATAAAATCACTTTGGTAGTTTACAAATTCATTTTGTGAGAAAATATTTAACTAATTTCCAAAATTAACAAAAAAAATTGGCCAGGGACTGTAACAGCAAACTGCTTTTTTAGAACCTCCACCGTAACAAACAATAACACCAACCCCACCGAGATGCGCATTACTACCAACCCCCTAAACCAAAACTACGTCGATCCAGACGATTGCTTGGCGACCAGCTTCAGCAATCCGAACCACATCGAGTTACCGTCGAAGACGGCGGCGACGACGACGACGAATAACAACGGCAACAGCGCACGTCAAATTGACAGCTCCACTTACTGTAAGAGCAAACCTAACGGTGGCGGACTTGTGGTTACTAATAACACTAACGATAACGATGAAATGCGAGTTTGGTACGTGTGGCTTTAGATTGAATAATGTTCAAGATTTATTTGATGTTTTTTTAGGAATAAGCCCACTCCTCCACCGCCTTTGCCTCCCCATGGCGTTCAATCGGTCCAAGAAGCACCAAGGACCCAGTCTTTAATTGTTGATGTCGAACCTGAAGATTATAGACCACCTGTTCCACCGCATCGAAATATTGGAGTTAGCGCTTCGAACTTTGTTGAAGCTGCACCGCCAAGAAGAAACAGAAATAGGTAAAATAATAATTTATAGTTTTTCTTTCAGTTTTAATTTTAATTCATCCAAAAACTGGCTTTGACCAAATACACACCTTTGAGTAAACTGCAATTATGTTTTATTAAGGAGTAGAGAAGTTGCTTTTATACGTAATGCATGAATAGCGATAGTTACCAACTTGCAAAAACAAAATTTATTTTGTAATTTCATTACATTTGATTTAAAAACCGCCAATTTTCTAATTGATTTAGTAATAATTTTTTATTTTAATACAAAAGGGGTTTTTTTTTCGTTTTTCTTCCCAGGCCTTGGAAAAAAGTCAACTTTTTTGTGAAAAATTGAATTTTTTTTGGAAAATATACACATTTGAAAAAAAGTATCATTGAACAACTTAACATTATTTTAATTTAAAACAAAAATCCTGTATTCCAAAAAAAACAAAATTGAATTCAATTGCAAAAAGGAGTCCATTAAAAATATTAAACTACCAAATAATAAATGTTTTATAAAGTTAAATTATAATTTTTAAAATATAAAATTAAATTTTATAAGTCAAATAAAACGAAAGTTATGTATTAACGGAATCGAATATGTTTTTTTAGTCCCGGTAGAATATTCTTAATGAATTAAAATAAAAGGAATAATTATTGTAATCATAATAATATGATTATATCAGCGTCGGAAATTCAATTTTTTCTCGATATCAGTGTACGGTAAAAATTTGGAAATTTTTAGAAAAAAACAATTAAAAAATTAATTTTTCTGAAAATTTCCCAATTTTCAGTTATTTTTTCCGCCAGCTCAATTTTTCGAAAAATTTTAAAACCCCAAGGCTTACACAGGTACAATGTTCAAAATTTCATGACCATTTTAACACCAAATTAACACCATACATGGTCTATATCGATACAAACCAAAATGGTGTTAAATATGGTTCGTTGGTCCGGTGTAAATTCAAATTCTAAAATAGTGTAAATTTAACTTTCACACAGTATTAAAATAAATTTTACCTGGTGTAAATTGAACTCCTTTTCAGTGTTAAATATTATGTGTTTTTGGTCAAATTAAATCGTACTACACAGAAAAAAAGGAAAAAAAGGAAATTCCTTGACGCATCACTAGTATATAACCAGTGGTATTATTCCAGAAAATTGAACCTTCAACTCGCTAGAGAAAATGTTTTTAGTGCGTTCCACCAACTTAAAATACTTCAAGTATTCACAGCTGATTCCACCTATTTAAGGTCTCTTTAGTATCAAACAACTTGTAGTGACACACCAAAGCAAAGGACTACCTGAGCTTATATACTCTTCATGTAAGTCAACAGAGGCGACTATGCAACCTGGAACGCACGGCAAATTGTTTTAATCGTTTTAACAGAGTGATTTAGCTTGAAGTAACTCTTATTTTACAAACAACATATTTAGTAAACTGAACCATATAGCGGGTTGGTTTCACTAAAGTTTTCTGGGTTAATTTAAGCAATTTAAAAAAAAAAATTACTATGTGGTTTAGTTCTGTCAAATTAACTTTGTTTATATTAACCTTCCCAGTTGATAAAAATAAAAAAAATACAAAAATAAATACTTATGGGTCAACTAAATTAATATATTTAAATAAACTATTCCTTTGTTTCTGTGTAGGTGCTTTTCTCAAATATTTTTAGATAAACACCATTTTGGTGTTTGCTGAATATAACATTTTCAACCATAATTCATGGTGTTTATATAACACCACTTGGTGTTAGATTTTGACACCATTTTAAGATTACTCTTTACACCACAGATATTTTAAACAGTGTATACACATACATTGTATTGTAACACAAAAACGTGAATTAAAAAACGTAAACGTATTGCCACATTGCGAGTTGTTTATAGTTGGTTTTTATGGTAACGCTTTTCGCTTTTAATAGTGCGTCACCCTAATATGACAAAGTTGTATGTTAAAAATTTAAGTCTATGTTTCTACAGGATTATACGTGGCCTACGCTTCACATACCACACAAATAATTCTATAGAATTTATATTCTATGTATACAAATATATAGAGTTATTTTCAAGTTGTATGTCAAGGGTGGATTACATAAAACCTTGTAGAAGCATAAACTCAAATTTTTCTGTTTTTTTAACCTTGTTAAACCTTGTTATATTAGGGTGACGAGTGGCACTGAAAGTTCTATATGCAATGTTATTTAAAATTCAAAAAGAAAAAAAAATAATTATTTATTAGACGAGAATGACAGATTGATAAGTTTGGTTGGACACTGTGACAGTCAACATAATCGTTTATTATTGCAAAACTATGCGGTGAATGTTAACAAACAGGCATAAGTGCATATGAGAAAAAAATTATTAATTTTTCAATGTCACGATATAAGATATGCATTCATTAAAAACATGGGCTATATAGGAGATGTATTTAATTAACGCATATCTTATAACAGGACAATATTGTGCCCGAGAACCTCCTTAAATAAATGTTCTTGCAATATAAGCAACTTTTTCAATAACAGCAAAATATTTAAACTTGTAGAAATCAAGAAAAACCTCAATACAGACCATCGTCAATTGACTACAACAAGGCGTCCGACTTTCCCAGACCAACGAGCGATATTATAAAAGACGGCGATGAAAACTTACGAAGCGTGTTCGAATTTGACGACGATCCGAGCGAGCAAGAACCCGAGGAAGCCCCGATGGAGTTTGTGCAGTACCCCAAATCACCCAATGCAAATAGTAAATAATTGAAGAAAAAAAACGTTTAGGCCATACAAGCTGTTTTTTATTTTTAGAAAGGAATAGTGCAGAAGTTAAAAGAGCCACAATAGTGGGCAACCCAATGTTCAGTGCCTCGGATAACGTAACTGAACCGACAAATGTCCAGGATCTTCCCGGCTTAGACGACTTGCAATTGGATATGGATTATGATCAAATTATGAATTATTTTGAGAACTTGAAGGTAATTTAAACGGACTATAACATTTTTCAGGCAGTTTGGAGAAAAACAATTTTCTGAAGCAAAAAATAGGATCTTTTCGTTTCAAGTTCAGTTATTTTTTCTATATTCAAACCACATCAAATTTGTCAATTAATTTGTATTGATTTTTTCAAAATTCCGCATCGTTTTTATCATTTTTAGTAAGTACCTAAGAATTTTACAACATTTAATAGAAAAAAGATATCTCACGACTCGTTCGCAATAATAAGATGCAACTTTTTTTGACAGTTATAAATTGTTTTCTTTTCACAAGTGTTCAAAAAATAATATTTGCAAAAAACTTAAGAATTATTTAAACTATTTTAATTATTTATACCTTTTAGGCCGTACCATTGCAGTTAAAATTTTATAAAATGTACTGTGCCTTTTTAATTTCGGGCTCCAAAATGAAAAAAAAATGCGATACCGCCTGTAAATGTAGGAATGGCAATTTTTGTTTTTTGGGACAGGGAAATAAAAAGGCAAAGTACATTTTATAACATTTTTAGTAAAATGTATGGCACGCCGTTTTAGTATTTATTAGATAATAGTTTGAAGATTAAAGTTTAGCACTTTAATGATGTTTTAACAGAAATTTACAAACTTAAATTTTTTGAAACTCAAAACAATTGATGGTCAAAAAATATTTTAAATATAAAATACAACAGTAAAACATTAAGCTTAAAAATATTGATTTTAAAAAAATTTTGTTTCAATAGGAATTTTATTTTACAAAATTTTCGGTTTAAATTTGTGGTATTTAAATGATATAAAAAAAATACCACTATAAAATTTAAAACATTTAAATGTAATGTGAGAATTTTTTTATTAAAAATTTATTGACTGATCATTTAAATGACTGTTTACATATTTAAACCAATAATTTTGTAGAATAAAATATTAAAAGTACAACTTTAAAAAACGTATACTTTAAACTGAAACTTTTACAATTGCATTTTATTAAAATATTTTTTGATCAGCAATTGTTTTGAGTTAAAAAAAAATAAATTTTTAAAATATTTTGGTAAAAAGTTTTATATTTGTATTAATTTTAAATCTCCACACTATTTTCAAAAGTAAAAAATTTAACTTTACCAATTTATTCTAAATAATTTTATAAAACATTTATTTAAGATTTACAAAATTCTGCCCAAATAATACTTTATATAAAGAAATTATTTTTATTAAAACTTTTTTGTAAAAATTGATTGGAAATAATATTTTTTAATACAGAATTGAACTGTTAGTAAGTAAATTTTGTCTTTCAATACATATTTTAAATTTATAAATGTAAACCCAAAATTTTTAGTTAGGAAAATTTTAAACCAATAAAATTTTAAATTATAAAATGATTTAATAAATGTTAAAACGGCGTGAAATGGAAATGGTAAAAGGTATCAATAATTGATATTATTTAAATGATTGTTATAAAAAACTTAGTTTAGTTAACAAAATAGTGAATTCCATCCAACAAATTAAAACGGCATTTTTTTGTTTAAAATGTTGGTGTTAAAATATGTTTTAAGTTTCAAAATTCATTTGCAAATATTGGTTTTATTTGTTCGACCCAAAAAACTATATTTGTTGTATTTTCAGGAGTCAAATGCCTGAGTAGAAGAGATCATTGCAAAGATCCGCGACATCCTGCTTTCGTTTAGCGAACAATACAGGGCGGCCGCTTTAAACAACGGCAACATCGCGAGTCCCGATCCAACCCGAAACGTCAACCAGAGTTTCGACTATTTCTTTGACCATCTTAGCGAATCGTACGCTTGAAAATGAAACGGTCAATTAATAACAATAAACAAGAAAAAATTGTCGGTTTTTCGCGGAAAAAGCGACCATTTTTCAGCATCAATCATGTATACCCATTATATGTAAACTCTAGATTTCGAAGTTGTAAGATTCATTGGGGCTTAGTTAGTTGGATAAATAGGCCTCAATAAGTCGGTATTATTAATAATGCAATCGCAAGACTGACTGTTTAGTTACTTTAAAGTTCCATAATTTGTTTTTGCTTTCAGCCTTTAAAGTAGGTATCTAATAGCAACTTGTAAAATATAAACTATATCCTAGGAAAATAAAAACGTTGCTTTTACACTTCATACTAACTGACTGAAAAATACTTTATATTTCTCAAATAAAAGCAACATTTTTGTGTTCAAATAAATAAATGGCTAAGTATTTAACAATAACAATAAAGTTAAATATGCAGCCAATATAGATATATAATATGTGTAAAATTGTAACTTTTATAGTAAATCTATGGTTTCTCTAGCTATAATGGTCTATAAGGGGTATAACAAAATAGATGAACGTTGAGGTGGATTTTTGCAGTGATCTATAAACTATATAACTCAAAAAATAATTGTCTAGTCAAAAGTATCTTAGCTTTATTTATAAAAAAAGTATTTTATACGAATGTTTGCCATATTTAATAAATCCTAAATACCTAGATGCACAAAAAGGGTTCCTGAATGCATAATAGAGTGGGTCAAATATCCGCTTTTTTCGAAATTAATTTTGTAAAAGCAAAAATATTATTCTTTAAGGTAAAAAAATAAAAAAGGCTCCTATTAATTTTGTCGTAAAAATTGCAATTTTGCAGTAAAAAATTATCATTTTTTTACAAAGTTTTGGCAATTTTTTTTTTTAATTTAATTTTCTACAAAAAAGGTCCTTATCAATTATCGCATAAATATTGCAGTTATTAGAAATAATTGCAATTGAATCTTAAAATTGCCATATGTTTAACAAAACTTATTTAAAAAGTAAAACGTTTTTTTGATAAAATTTGTTGGAAAATTTAAATTCCCACAAAAATGTAATGAATTATCGCAAAACAATTTAAGTTTCACAGATAATTGCAACGATATTGTCATTGTCATTTTTTATCAATTGTAATTTTTTGTGACAAAATTTACTTATATTTAGTAAAAAAATTGTTTGGGTAAATTCAATTGTTTTAAGGTCCTTATCAATTATCGCATAAATATTGCAGTTTTTAAAGATAATTGCAATTTTATCTTAAAATTATGACAATATTTTAAAAAAACCTACTTTAAAAGTAAAAAAGTTTTTTATATAATTTGTTGGACAATTTAAATTTCCAAAAAATGTCATTATGAATTATCGCATACATATTTTAGTTTCAGAGATAATTGCAACGTTATAGTAGTTATTGTCATTTTTTTTACAATTGTAATTTATTTTGACTAAATTTACTTATTTTAAGTTAAAAATTGTTTGAGCAAATTTAATTGTCTACAAAAAAGGTCCTTATCAATTATCGCATAAATAATAATAGATAATTGCGATTTTATCTTAAAATTATGACAATTTTTTAACAAAATTATTTTAAAAGTAAAAAAGTTTTTTATATAATTTGTTAGAAAATTTAATTTCCCCTTAACAATTATCGCATAAATATTGCAGTTTTTAGAGATAATTGCAATTGTATCTTAAAATTGATATATCTTTAAGAAAACTTATTTAAAAAGTAAAAAGTTGTTTTGATATAATTTGTTGGACAATTTAAATTTCCAAAAAATGTCCTTATGAATTATCGCATAAATATTTTAGTTTCAGAGATAATTGCAACGTTATTGTCATTGTCATTTTTTATCAAATGTAATTTTTTTGACAAAATTTATATTTAGTAAAAAAATTGTTTGGGTAAATTTAATTGTCTTAAGGTCCTTACCAATTATCGCATAAATATTGCAGTTTTAAGAGATAATTGTGATTGTATCTTAAAATTGTGTTAAAGATACATAAGTATTGTAAATCAAAAATAAAAAAATTTCAGTCTGAAAATTGATATATTTTTAAGAAAATTTATTTAAAAAGTAAAAAGTTTTTTTTGATATAATTTGTTGGACAATTTAAATTCCAAAAAATGTCCTTAAGAATTTTCGCATACATTTTTTAGTTTCAGAGATATTACAAATTATAACTTTTGTTGTACACACAAACATTTTCCAAAAATAAGTTTCGTTAAAAAAAATTTCAATTTTTAGATAAAAGCGCAATTATCTTATTATATTGATAGGGACCTTTTTATAGACAATTAAATTACCCAACAGATAGCGTAAATAAATATTTTGTTACTTTCAATTTTAAGCGAATTTGGCAAGCCTATAATGTTGACCAAAAAATATTATTTTTGCTATTATATTAATTTCGGAAAACACGGATATTCGACCCATTGTTATTCATAAAGCTTCTTAGAATTTTTTTATATTTTTGTTGGTGGCAGCAACGCTTTAAAAGTTGTTTTGTTTTATTTTGTAAGATGTTCTGTATAATTGTGTACATAGTAGACTGTCTAAAAAAGCGCCCTGACTGATGATTTAAAAGAGGGCTTTTAATTTTATGTTACTTAGGTGTTAAGTTCTATTTTATGAATATTAAATATGATATACGTATGTTACATTAGCCATCATGTATGTGCTTTTGGATAACTAATCTAAAAGGAGCTGAAGAACAATACATTTAATGCATTTTGAAAATAAAACATAGGACCCATAATACATACATTTTAAATTAAATTAAAAAATGTATGACTATCAATTCAAATGCTTTAAATGTATTTTTGGACGTTCCATATTTGTAGCATGCAGTCTAAATGTAAATTTTTCGATATTATTTTCTGTATATATAACGCAACCCAAATCTACTTAAATAGAATGGCTTTAGAAAATAGTTAAATATAATAAAGAGTATCCAACGCTCTAGTCTCCCTGGTATATCACAAAAATGTATTGATAAAAAAATATTGTGTACGACCTAGATGTTAGTAAAAGTGCTTTATTTGGAGAATTCCCACTACTAGCGTCACTTTGCTTCACTAGTATACAAAACATATACACGACTTTTAACTCTAATTCTTCCAATAAATCGCATAACAATCACAAAGTTTTAAGTCACAATTAAAGTTACTTAAAATTTTGTAATTCGTATGGAACACAATGTTTTTGCATTTTTTGTTGTAAAACAGTATTATTTCATTACCATTAAGAATTTTAAACACCAAAATCGTTTCCTACTCAATAGAATTACCCGACTTAATATTATTTTCCATTTTCAAGGTTTTGTAAATATATTTTCATCTTTGGTATTTAAAATTCGCCATTAACTACGCATATACTCATGTAATGTATATATAAGAATATAAAATGTTATAATTGTTATAATATATAGAAATCCTTCTTCTGATATTGTGCTTGATAAAATTATACTAAATGTTCTCATTTGAAGTAGAAAAACTCATTATAATTGAGTCAATTTTTAGAATGTTTTATACTGTTTTGATGACATTCCTTTTTATATAAAAAAATAGAATTTTAATTTTGTAGGTTTTCTGTCAGAATGATCAATAAAAGTATGCTGACATATCAGAATTAATTCTGTAGAATGCAAGACAGAAAACATTTTTTTGATTGTTTTTTTTCAAGATTATTTTCATCAAAATTATTAAGTCGATGTAAATTGTTGAGTCAACTGATGTATGTACAAGTACAATATTGTAAGTTACCAAAACAAATCAGTAAAATAAAGTATTTGTAATTGTCTATGTTGTTTTTTATTTTTACGCTCATTAATGATGACAAAAAAATATATGAAGAGAACTCAAAAGACTATTTCAGAAAAGAATAATATTTGGAATTTGTTCATGAAACACCCTGTATAAGCATATAAGGCATTTTAAACTACACTGTACTTTCTTGATTGATACCCTTAAGTTGAAAGACATACATGTGTTAAACATACAATATCAATTGAATGAAGTCAATATTAATAATTTTGACCCAGATATTTTGAAGGCGTTAAAAGGTTAATACCAATCTAGCGAAGTTAAATTGTTTTGTTATCAGGGTCCCTTATATATTTAGCTTAATTGAAATTTCAATATTGATACAACGTTAAACAACTAAACGCTAATAGACAAAGTAGATACCAAGGTAGATACTAATTTTAACAGAATCCCAGCTTTTAGAAACTCAATAACAATGAAAGCCATAGTTATGCGATTAATGTTAACCATATAATTTACTTTCAATAATATTTGCTTTTCTATTGCAAAAATAATAATATTAATAATGCAGTTTACACTATGTACTGTTACAAAATGGTTAAATTGACTAAACATAATTTCTAATAAGACCAAAACCGCTTAAAATGTTATAAAAAGACAATGCGTGTTTTATTATTTGCATTATAGGTAATGTTAACCCTCCGTGGTCACTTTATATCACTAAAAAACCTACCTATGTTGGTAGAAAGCGCTAAAAATATTTAAAATAGGGAAATTTTTCGTTTTTGACATGTGATAAAGCAATTCTGGGTCAAATTTGAATTATAAAAACTATCTTGAAAATGTAAAAAAAACTCGAATCCTTGTTTCCTAGCCAAAAACAATTGTTTAAACTTGCCCTTCCACGGTTTTTTTTGGTCAAAATTGCAAACACTTATAAAAGGCGTATCTCAAAATAAAGTTTATAAACAAGTTTCATACTATACTTTTTCTACAAGAAATCTTTTTATAAAAATAATATTTTACTAATTAATTAATTTAAATATTTGTATGAAACGACATCTACACAAAAATAGTGTAACCAAAATTGGTGTTAGGAATCTGTTTTGCCGATTCTCAAACTGTCGGTGTCAGTTTGTTGAATATTCCTGCAAAAATCAAAATTTCTTCCTTGAAACTCGTAGAAGTAGAAAAGGTGAAACGTGACGAAACCGTGACGATTTCTGTCCATTGTGTCCAGTTGGACACAAATCGTCACGGGTTCGTCACGTTGTGCTATCTGGGGTTTTTATGGATACAATATATGGGTATACCCAGGCAAATACTTGTTTGCTGGCGAAATCAAGAGGTCAGTAAAATCGTGCAAATTTCAAAAGTTTCTTGGTCTTAGAGCATTCAACAATGTAATTATTTAAATCCTGTCAATATATACTCATTAATATTAATAATTTAACATCCTGTAAAATAGGGAAAACGGCATTTTTTTTTAAATTTAACATTTAGCCTTGACCACAGACCATCAGGTCTGTGGCCTTGACTGTCAAATAATATTCATATACTTAAGTATATGATAATATT